CACCGAGCCACCTTGCAGCCCCACACTGACTTGACTTTTCATTTTAGTTGCCAATGTTTTGGTGACTTTTTGTTCAAATAGCATAGTTAACATGTTTGGTTTGTCTAAACTATACAGGAGGAGAGAACGACTGAAATGGACGTTCTGAGTGTTCACTCACCAAAACACAAGTCGAAACAAGCCCATAATTATCACCACTAAACCCGTACATGTGGGAATCGACAAAGCTCGTAGATTAAAAAAACTGCAAACGCGGAAGACGGTGAACTGATGTCAAATGTGACTCATCCTGAAGATAAAAGAAATCCAGATCGAGCTGCTGACTTGGGATTCATTCCTCAATAGACGAGGTACGATACTCACCATCACTAACATCTAACACTAACTGTGCCTGGCTGTACGTTTGGTTGAGCTTTTATTGTAAACGTGCTTAGAAAAGGTCGGCATCATTGTAATGTTACGTTTTCACTAAAATAGACATATAATATAAAACAGCCAACTAATTTATGTTTATAATGTAACTGTCTTGCATTACAGACTGCATTTGTACCCCAAAAATTAGTGTTTCTACAAAAGATCAAGATAGAATTTAATACTGTTTGATTTTCAGTTAAGTACATTTTTTAGCAAAGTTTTTATCATATTTTTAATTTCTAGAAAAAATTCTAATATGCAATGAAAGATATTTTATGTTTTTTTGCTCTACATCTAAAACAAATAACATTGCATGTGTTATTTCAGATCTTTTTTTCAATTAAACATCTTTTTCAGATTCTCCATCTGCTTCAACAGAATGGAAAGAAACTCAACTATTTCCACCGACATCCTGGAGATCCAAGGTTTTGACATCTCTCCAGAGTTCATGTATCCCCTGTTTTTCCTCCTGCTATTTGTTTACTTCTCCCTGCTGTTTTCCAACATCGGAGTTCTCGTGCTCATCATCACCGAGAAGAGCCTCCACCAGCCGATGTACATCCTCTTCTGCAACCTGTCCGTCAACGACCTGATAGGCAACACGGTCCTGCTGCCTCGGCTGATGTCTCACATCCTTTCTACGGAGCGCTTCATCACCTACAACCAGTGCGTGGCCCAAGCCTTTTACAGCCACACATTCGGGTCGGCGTCGCACATGATTCTGGTCATCATGGCCATCGACAGGTACGTGGCCATATGTCACCCCTTGAGGTACAGCTCCATCATGACCACCAGAGCTGTGGTCGGACTCTCGGCGACGGCGTGGGGGGTCTCCTTAGTGCTCGTTTCTGTTCTGATCGGCCTCACGGTGAGGCTGTCTCGCTGCAGGTCGGTCGTGCAGAACGCTTACTGCGACAATGCATCGCTGTTCAAGCTTTCCTGTGAAGACGTCTCCATTAACAACATCTACGGACTGGTTTTCACCGTGCTGCTGTTCTCCTGTTCAATGGGAGGCATCGGCATCACCTACTTCAGGATAGCTCTCATCTGCTGGATGAAGAAAAACAAAGAGCTGAGCAACAGAGCCCTGCAAACCTGCGCGAGCCACCTCGTTCTTTATCTCATCATGCTCCTGTCAGGGTTTCTAACAATCATCCTGCACCGTTTCCCAAAGTACCCTGATCTGAGGAAGATTGCGTACATTTTGTTTCATGTTGTTCCCGCTAATTTAAATCCAATCATTTATGGAATGCAGACGAAATCGTTACGGCATAAAATCACCCAGATACTGCAGGGAAAAGTCACTCCCACATAGTGTCTTTCATCTTCTTCTGTATACTGAGGCCTGAACATAAAGACGTGCGTGCTTCATTAAGTTCACTCACTTTAACTGCTTTAAAGGTGTCTGCTCCAGTTGAAACATTAACGTCACAAGTCACAGCTCTGAGCTCAACACAGCAGAACCTTATGAAGAAAAGTGACGACGTATGAATAAGTGAAAATACTAGTTTTCTTAGCCCCTTTGTAGCAGAACATATGTGTAGTACTAAGAGTAGTATGTACAAACCAAGCTCTGTACCAACCCCTGGTGTTGAAAGTAGGCCTGGTTTGTGTTCTCTTACTATATTTGATGATCGCAAAACCCCTAAAATCCCAGTTTTTATTGACAGAGCATAAAATATTCAGATTACAAATGTCAAAGAGCAAGCAGTCGGATTATTTTTGAAACAGGTGCAAAGTTTCTGCTGGTGTTTTCTGCCATGTGCTGATATTTAAGAGTTTGCAGGGATGTTTTTCACTTTTGTACAACAACACAAGACAAAAAGTCCGAACTTATTGTTCCTATAATGTCATGCATTGTGCAATTTTCACTTTTTGATGATCCAGTTACATGAATTTTAAATATCCAGATAGCTGTCTTCTTTTAACGACCTGTTGCTCTAAACTTTATTTAACTGCTAGAATTAGTTGTTGTGTGTCTTATTAAAGATGGACATGGCCAGTAATACTGCAGTGTGGCTGATTTAATAAATAAATGATTTGGATCAACATTGTTTAATGATAAGATAAAAATGTAGTAAAGAAAGTACCACAGTTTTTAACTTTGTACTGACCACATGGGCCTTCATAATCCAGATCCAGTTGTGTCATTAAGTGGTACCATTCTCCACTTCTCTGCATTTGTTTAACAGTTCTTCAATTCAAATTTGGTTGAAACACAGTTCTGCTGATTAAGCATCCAGTCTTTTTTTCCCTTTGTCATTCGGATTAAAGACAAACATCCCATTTTGCGACATACAGCCCAGGGATAATGCACATCAGCAACAAGGCAAATGGCTTCAATCGAGAGGATTTAACAGATAATCCATGCGAGTTACAATGAGACATTGTTTTCTCTTGGTCTGATTTTTTTTCTTTTCCTTTTTTTGTGCAGAACTTTACCTGATTGTATTTCTAAACACGTTGAATCTCCTGTGGATTTGGGTCATGCACTCCTTGTTTTAGTGATTGCTGTGCTATAATAAATAACGCAGGCTCATGCCGGTGTGTGTGTGTGTGTGTATTTTCGTATTGTATTTTAAAATTAAATTAGATTTGTCCAATAAAAAAATCAATTTTCTGAAATCCCCTCGACCTACGTAAGGCCTCACTCTCTCAGGCAACAGCAGAACATGTTTCATCACCATCAGTCTGCACTGTAGCAGTTGAATATTTCATCGGTTTTAGGGCTTTTATTCTGTCTCGGAGACACAATGTTCAGATGGAAAAAGAATGCTTATTCAATATTTGGTGAGCAACAGTAGATTTCTTACTTAAGATCTTAATTTTGCTTTTGTGACTCTTGATAAATAGAAATAGATGCTTCTGTATATATATATAAAAAACACAAAATAGAATATTCTTTATTGATTTGCCAACAGACTTGTATTTTTTTCCATGAATGTAATTACTTTTACACAGCACTGGGGCAAATGTTGTTGATAACAAAACTCAAAAACACCAAATCTATTTAAGATCTAATTTTTCTCTTACATAGAACTGTAGTATAAAATGACATGTCCTTCAGAATAGACCGTATCTGCTACATATGAAAATCTGAATCTTAAGTAAATTACTGCATAATGCTCAATGATTCCTGTATAGGAAGGGAAACATATGAATATCTGCCAACTAAATCATTACCAAACAATGTCTTCATCAATATGTTTGTAAAGGTGTTTAATAACATGTTTTAAAATGTTGAAGTTTAACTCCTGTGAGAAACCCTGAAAAATATATTTTTTAAAATCAGCCTGAAGTGACTTATGAGGGATCAAATCAGTGTATTTTTCATGATTCTGAGTTGATTGTTCGCATTCATATTTCACCACAAACACTCCATTGTTGAAAAAGGCCACACTGACTTTTACATTTACATTCAGAGTAGCTTTTATTTCACATACTTGTATAACACTTTCTCATTCGCAGTGTCTGAAGCTTCAAGAGTCATCGTCTATGTCTTCTTCAGACTCACCAACATCATGACTGCAGTTTCTACATGTAATGCCTTTACAGACTCTACAGGCCCAGATGCACATGTCCCCATTCTTCTTGCAGCTGCACCGCCAGTTGTTGCAATCTCCATGATAATTACAGCTCCTGAGCTTCAGTAGCTCCTCAGGAGCCATGGGGTCTAGTGTTGGAACTGGCTCATACCAATGCACACCTAATGTCCATCTATAGTCAGTGGGCTTCAGAGACCTGCTCTGTAGAAGGATCCAGTCCCAGCTCTGCACGGAGTGAATACTGTGCAGCTGCACCCTCTGTTAGAGGTAGAGTCTCTGGTTTGATCACTCCTGCTGCCGCCTTCCTTGAGACCATACTGTACCAAATTTGGATCATAAATACACTGAGTGTTATGTGAAATAAAAGCTACTGTGAATACAAATGTAAAAGTCAGTGTGGCCTTTTTCAACAATGGAGTGTTTGTGGTGAAATGTAAATGCTAACAATCAACTCAGAATCATGAAAAAATCTCTGATTTGACCCCGCATGAGTTACTTCAGGCTGATTTTTAAAAATAGATTTTTTGACAATCATTCATCAGTATCGTGACTTGAGCAGGTTTTTTCTGGGTTTCCCACAGGAGTTGAACTTCAACATTTTAAAACATGTTATTACACACCTTTACAAACATATTGATGAAGAAATTGTTTGGTATCGATTTAGTTGGCAGATTTGTGAAATATCTCATACAATGCCCTAACTATGTAATAATCTCTGTGGTATGTACACCATTTGACTTTGCAGGAGTTCTATAGTTAGATGGCTTTTCCCATGATGAGAAGGCTCATTAAAAACACCATTATGAAAAATATCCACATGAAGAAGCGATCTAAAACTTTGGCCACCTTCTTCCACTCCCCAGTCCTTTTCTGCGTGGCCCTCTGGTCTCTGTAACAGTTGGCTATGTACTCGATGTTACGCAGCAGCTGCTTCTCGTTGCTTTGGCTGCTGCAGGGTGGAATCTCTCTGTCTTTTCTCTCCCCGTCGCTCACTCCTCCCTTCCTGCATCTCCTCTGACCCCCTGGATCTCCGTTGTCCATGCTCATGAAAACGCCGTTCTTCCAGGTGCTGTAGTGGCTGGTCGGGTTCTTCCCCATCGAGCCGATCGGGCTCATCATCTGATCCATGTCCTCTCTTTCCTCTGCAATCGCCGTCTCTTGTTCTTTCTCCATTTTGAAGGCACACTCCTCTCTGCCTGGCCCTGCCTGACCGTTCATGGTGCAGTTGGTGTTCTTCACCGGCGGAGGCTCCTGTTTCTCCGGCTGCGGCGACATGCAGTTCTCCCCGACTTCATAAACGAAGCACATCCTGGCCAAGTACTGCAGAATGACTGTCTTGGCCCACTTTGGGACGGGCTTAGCGTCCGGGCCACAGTGGTGTATGTTCATGATGAAGATGGTCAGAGCAGTGGAGGCTGTGATCATGGTCATGGTTGCTATGTAGTACTTCCCTGTGGGAGGAAATAAAACGAGGAAATCAACACAGAGAGTTGCAGGATACAGTCCAGACACATATTTTGGTTTGAACTTACCAATAAGCGGCACGCTCTCCGAGGGCGGCATGATCTCTGCAACTAAAAGCTGAAAGACGGTGAGTGCCAACATGACAGTGACGCCCAAAGAAACCTTCTCTCCAGAGTCAGCAGGCAGGTAGAAGCCCAGCGGAGCCAGAAAAGAGATCATGACACACGGTATGAGCAGGTTGAAAACGTAGAACGAGGCTCTTCTTTTGAGTTTCAGCGTGTAGGTCACGTCCGGGTACGGGTCGGCGCAGCAGCCGTACAGAATAATGTTCCTCTTCCCCGGCATGCCGAGCACCTCCCACTCCACGTTCTCCACCAGGTCGGCCAGGTCGGCGCTGTCCATGGCGTTCAGGATGTCCAGCTGGTTGCCGTTGTACGTCCAGGATCCGTAGGTGAACCTGCACTGCTGGGCGTCGAAGGGGAAGAAGGACACGTCCACCCTGCACGAGCTCTTGGTGATGGCCGGGGAATCCCACATTATCTGACCGTCGTGTCGGATCACCACGTTGGTGTCCATGGGGCCTGTGAAATGATCGTCAGCGCTGGAAAACAAAGAAAACTTTGCATGGAAGAAGAAATGAGAGAAACACTGCTCACGTTCAGGGCAGCTGGGATTAACTTCTGGAGAATGATTTGAGAAAGACACTTGATCAGGATACAAAGGCACAAGGACGCCAACTGAGAAGAGAGTCAACACCTTTTGGAGAGTTGTACTCACTCCTCAGCGTCTGCGTTTTATAACTTTTGAACAGCTGCTTTTTTCACACGTCAGCACATGCAGAATGTTTTTAAGTAATTCTAATCAATATAATGTCATCAAAATCATTATGAGATTGTAAAAGTCACATTTCTGAGGTATAAAAAGCAGACAGAGGCCTGCACACTCCTATAAATAACTGCTTCAAGGAATGTCCAGCTTGTGCCTTTAATACCGACCAACAGAGGCCACGCTTGGATAATACTTGAATGATTAACCCAATACCAGTCCGACCTACTTGTTATATAGGACTATGTCAGGTCTCCATACATAACTACTAGGTATGCGGATGGTATCGAGTCCATCGTAATCATCTTTATTCCATTTGAGGTGTGCATCAACCCACACTTGCCGTATCCATAAATATGCAGTCAAAATTTGGTTTCGCTCATCCTGTAAAATATTAAGAGTAATGAAAAGTAGTGACAACAGCAACACAAGGATTAAACAGCAACAAGATCAGAGTGGAATCAGAGATGTAATATTGACGTGCGGGTGTCTGCTCAGATGATTTTCACAGTCTTTGGGTGTTTTTACCATGTCGATAATTTGCGACAGCGTGACCTGCAGAGTCACATTCAGGATGGTGTTGGTGTCCTCTACAGGCCTCAGCGCACTCGTGTAGTTGGTGAACAAGTCGTTCAGGAGCTTCTGAGCGTATTTCCCGTGAGCGCAGCGACAGACTGGGGCAGAAGGAGAAACACTGATAACGTACAGCAAGAAAAATGGAAGTATTTGCTTAAGAAGGCCTCCTAAAGTGACAATTATTTGTTCCTGGCAGAGTGACATGCACAGCAGCTGATTCCCACTGAGGTGAAGATGGGGAGGAACATGTGAGACGGGATGTGAACGCATGGCAGATGGTGGACGGGGACAAGGGAGAGGATGTCAAGCTAGATTGCCCTTCTGTAAAGCTCTCGTAAGAGATCAGGCAAATCTGTCACTATGTACCAGCAGAGACTTTGTCTGCTAAGGCTGCGTATGTGGAGCGTAACATGTGTTGGATTAATCCACTGGACACACAACATATGAGTATCAAAGTGAGCCTAAGCAGGGAACCTAAACATCCAATGAAAACAGTGATGCTGGAAACTCCTTAGCCATCTTTTCCAGTAATTTCACCAGGAAACAGTCAGAAAGATGTAATAACAGTTTTAATAAAGGAAACGCTATATAGCCGAGCTTGTTTCCAGCATCAACAATGGATTTGGGGGAAGCCAGATGTTAACCCTGAATCGCTGTTACTCTAAAGCCTCTGAGCTGGATACAAAGAAGGCCTGCGGGATTATGGTGATAGCGAAATCCCTAAACAACTGGCTGCAAGTTTACGGACTCTGGGTGGAGGAGGGATGGAAACCAGAGAAGGAATGGATGATCCATAAGATATTAAAACAATGACATTAATCAAATGAAATCCAGCTGATGGGGACAATATTTTATGCAGATTGTTCTAAAAAAGAAAACAGGTTTTTCAAACGTTGCTTTCTTTTTCATATTAAATTTAAGTAACCAGAAGCAGCAATCAACAGACATTTTTTTTTGTGTAAAATACATGACATAAACTGAAAATAACATGAAACTTACTTGGCAAAATACTGGCACAAAGAAACAAGAGAAGTAAAGTTTGGATTCTCCTTCGTTTCATCTTGCAAATTATCTCGATCCGAGGAACATTTGAGCTGCTCTGCTGCAAACGAGCTTCATGCACTAAAAAAAAAAACGATTTTGAACCAGCAGGCGGATGGTGAAGTCAGCGGTCATGTGTTGTCCTGCGCAGAGCCGCCGAGTGACTGAAAACAGAGGCGGGGCAGCAGATGGACAGAACAAGTCCTGGTAAACTGCCACATGTTCACACAAATGGCGAGTTACACACGACTACAATGGGTCTTTATTAGGATTTTGGGAGGAGAAAAAAAAAAAAAAAGATCGATCCTTTGTTTGCTGCGCTTCAGCACCACGGAGAGCTCCAACCTCCTCACAATGGAGCCTTTAACGCACATTTGCGCTCGTTTTTCTCCAAATGGCTCATTTGGCCAATCACCGAGACATATTTCAGCATGTGGGCTGTGCATTATTTCCACCGAAGCATCTCCAGCATTCTCCTCCTCTCACTTTCTCTTCCGGGTGCTACAGCTCCGTCCTCCGCCTCCTCCCTGCTTCCTTCTGCTGTCCGCCGCACCAGGAGGATGTTGCATCCGCAGGCCTGCGTTCGTCTGCCGGCTGCAGAAATGTCGTAAATGCAAATAGAAAAAAAATGTAGGAGGAATTTATAGATGACTGGATGATCGATCCACAGCTTATGGTATCTGGAGGATTTAGCTCCATAGCGCAGCCTGATACAATGTTATTGTGTTAGTTGTTGTTTTTGCCTGTGCGTTTAGGTGGGGTTCAGATTATTGGTAAACAGTAAACAGAGTGGAGGTAGGTTGATTTCAGACCTACAGGTTTACTATGCATGCATTTAAAAGAATGTGTAAATCCCTATATATCTATCAATATATGACATAAGATCAATGTAATGTCTGATTTGCAAAGTTTTAAATTCCAGGTGCATCCTTTGTGTGTTCACCTTCTGCCAGCTTGTCTCTTCACTGTTTCAGTCTAAGATGCTTCAAGGCTCAAACATCTTCGGGCACGAGAGGCCCCTGGTCATCAGGGTGTCATTCGCCACCTGTGTTCTGGCCACCGTGTGCCTCCCACTGCTCGGACTGATAACTTGTGTCCTCATCTCCTCTGTTTTTCACTTTGAGGATGCTACTGGAACACACTGCCAGGTAATGCAACCAGCCATGTTTTTCCTGTTTTCCTTGTTTGGATCTGTTGCATATAGTTTCTATATTTTTGCATTTGCTCTCATCTCCCTTCTCTGTATATCCAAAACCAAAACAACACCCTGTCTGCGTGTTTTCAGGTCCCCAACTACCTGCCATCTATCAGTGCCTCGATAAGCCTCAGCCCTGAATGCCACATATGGCGCTTCTGCATCGGACTGCACTCAGCGCCGAGGCTCCTGGTGGCGTTCACCTACTTCAAGTTTTACAAGACACGTTTCGCCGCCAGGTTCCCCGAGAGTTTACTCAGCTGCTTGAACTTGGCCTTTTCCATTTTTGAAAACCTCGGCCTCTTGCTCCTCACATATGTATCATCCAGCGAGACGTACTGTGAGTAATACGTGTTTTGTTTGCTTTTTGGGAGAGGCTTCCTTCAAATATTTGTTTTCTCTTTGAATGACTGAGAGAATGGTGGATTAGTTTTGATGGTTTATGAAAATCACAAGTCTGATTTATAATTTTAGCAATATAGCCATAACAAATTTACAATAAATTAACAGGTTTGTGCATTGATTCAACGTTTAACTTTCATTTTGTTGTAAATTTTTTTTACAGTTTCTGCTGTTTATTGACCAAATTTCCCCCTCTTCTTGTTTGCTTCTTAGTTGTGCATAAAGAAGGTTTTGTCCTCTTCATTGTCAGTTCCCTCATCTACATGTCGATAACCTGCCGGTTATGGAAGACTATTAAGAAGTATTCCTTAAGTCCTGAGGTGAGAAATGCCAAATCAGACACTACATACTGAAATTCAACACGTGATTTGCAGCATTTCAGTCCAGTTAAGTCATTTTCATTCTTCGTTTTTAAAGGATGCCAAGTCCCACCATTGGAAAGTACGCTTCTTACTTCTCAACGTGTGCTTCTGTGCTTTCGCCGGATTCTTTTACTGGAAACACAACATGTACTGTGAATCAGGGAGTAAGTATTAAATCAGTATTTCTACAAGTCTTGGCTTTAAAGAGAAAGCACAACACGTCTATCATATTCCCTGTTTCTTCTTTATACCAGGTTATACGTTTTTCGCTCTGTTTGAGTATCTCGTGGTCTTCTCCAATATGGCCTTCCATCTCACAGCCGTGTGGGATTTTAAGAGCCGTGAGGTCATGGTTATTTCATCCTCCGAAGATAAAGACTTCTGACTAGAAACTCAAGGACTGCGTACTGAATGTACAACCACTAAACCGCCGGACGATAACGGCCTTGATCCTGCACAAGAGGAAGAGTGGGATGAAGGCCTTTTCCATATATTCCCGTGATGACGGCTCTTAAGTCCTTCGAGTGTGTAGATGTCAGACGAGTGTGAACAGAACATGCACTTGTGTTGCTGTAGGGTTATTCGGTTAGCTGTAAGTGCAATTTTGTGCCTCGTTGTCCCATTCATGGATGCCTTCACCTACATACGGTGTGTTATGTAATGTGAAATTTTAACTTTTGTAAATTACACAGCAAATGTGTGGTCATACTGTACATGTGCCTCAGTAAAGTGACAGTTCTTCATGTGTGTTTGGCTTTTATTTTGAAATGTAAAGGGGAAGATGGGCACCGTCATTGGCTTTTTTTTTTTTTTTTTCCATTTTGAGAGCATGTATGGAAAGTGAGCATCTAAAATCAGGATTAAACACAAAAAGTAAACTTTTAAATGCAAGAGAAAATTCTTAGGATGACACTTCTGTGGTTCCAGTGCAACTCTAAACCTTGCACATACCCAATTTTGAGTTCAAGAAACTGACCAGGCTCAGAAACAACCACTTTTAAAACTGTATTTTACAACAATACTGAGGAGACACTTTATCATTAGTTGTGCTCGTATTTGTTTATTTAGAATTCAGTGCATCAAATCTTGCAATAGATTTTTTTTGTAGTTCATGCAACAGTTTTTAATCATGACTTCCTGTAAAACATGTAGCTTTAAGGCCCTGTTGTCGACCCACTGCAGGTATTGTGATCACACACTGGTGACAGAACTGTGACCTTAAAGTTACTGCTGCTGGAAAGACACCCAGATTTAAAAATGAAAGCAAACATTCTAAAAACTGCCACATCAGACCAAGATTATTTATAAAAATGTAAAACGATATTATCACACTGCTCATGAGGTGTCAGAGAGGTGTTGATTCATATCTATAGTTCTTCATAAGGGAAGATAATGGTGGTAAAGTAATTTTTTAATCAGTACTTAATTAACAAAAATCAGGTTAATGTTTCTGACAGCACGTAAAGCAGGAGTTGTGTAATGTTATTACGCTTCGTGTACCACTGTGAAGCAGCGCCATCCTTATTAAATACTCTTTGAAATCCCTCCTCTGTTGTTTAGATAGGAGTGTGTACTGTACAATATAACAAAGGCTGCAGTGCTCTGAAGCCTCTTTGCATTGTCCAACCAAGAATCTTTCTCCGATGATGCAAGGGTTAGTCAGACACTGGCAAGACGTTTCATTTCAGCTGTAAGAGCTTGAATCATTCACAACAAAATCCATAAAACGGTATTGTTGCTGTCCACGTTCTCACCTCCATTAGGTTTATACTGTGTTTGGATTGATTCATAAATGGAAACAGCCTCATTACAAACACAGTCACACATGGCTAAAATCAATTTTATGATTTTAATAAGGATGGTTTCCACTGTGAATAAATATCACGATATGGTAAATGCAAGCAAAACCACGTGTAAGGCATAACAATGAAACAGTTCATTACTTTAAATGCCAATTTGTGTCAAACAAAATACAACAAAACATGATCTTTAGTTGTTGGTTTTTTTTACCTTTATTATATAGGACAGTTGAGAGAGAGACAGGACAGTGGGGGAGAATAATGGGAGAAGGAAATGCAGCAAAGGGTCATGAGCGGGATTTGAATCCATGGCCGCTGCGTTGGGGACTATAGCCCCTGTACATGGGTCGCCAGCTCAACCAGGTGAGCTATAGTGGCAGCGCCAGTCTTTAGTGTTTAATGTCTGTGTCTGGTCACTGATTTGGTCGAATCTCTAAAAGCTCATCTCTGTGTAACAAAATAATATGTAATAAAATATTCCTTTCTATCCCGAAAACCTGCACTTTAGCCATCCAGGCATTTCTTTATAATATGTGAATGGTTAAAGTCTCCGCCTCTGCCAACATTATCTACATTATTTCACTCATGATGTGTCTTTTAGTGTGTGCAAAGCACAATATAGAAACATGAAGTTCACTTCAATATGCAGTATTGCCACTGGTATCAGAGCTATGTTCAATTATGGGCTGTAATTTGCTCATATCATTATGATATGTGGTTTTCTCTGCCAACATTTTGACTTGTCATAATAGAAAAGGCGCAGATGTCATTCAAAGCATTAACAGTATGTAAAATTCAAAGTGTTATTTACATTTATGCTTCAGGCTACGCACATTCATCCCTTTTAGTAAAACCACAAAAGAGGCAGAAAAACTGCTAAAATGTTGATGATGGACACAGCAGCTTTGGATCTTTACTTTACACCCAATATATGACTATAAACTTAAGGGCTAAATTTAGCCAATGGTGGACAAAAGGTTTTAAAGTTGTTCAACTGGTGACAAATTCCCAACCACTGAGTTAATCCACACAAGTCATGTGTGGCTTTAAAGAACAATGATCAAATAGTGTGACCAGCGCATAGACGCTCCTTTGACCAGTGGCTATAAAATGTCACCCTAAAATGAAGGGAAATTGAGACAGTGCATATGGAAGACAGTGTGTCACATGAAGCTCTGGGTGAATTTGTCAACTTTGTTACGCCTGTCAAGACGAATGGAACAACAGTCCACAGGTCAGCCCAGATGACCTCATTTGCCCTGTGGGCCGCAGATATAGAAAACATGCTGAAAGTGGGTTGACTGACAATTGGAAAGTACTTTATATAATAATCTAAAATTACACAAATGCCACTTTTAATATCTAGTTTATTATTTTAATAAAAAAATGTAAAATCAGAGATGATTGATCAGCATGTTCCTGATGATTTAAGATGGAATAACCCAATTATGTAAAAAGAATACAGAATTTAATAAAATGTAATGAGCTGTGTTTATAGTTTTGTTCTGCATACTTTGAAGAGTCACCTGTGTTTTCCTTTACATAAAGGCATTTCCAACATAAATTGGTGCATAAATTTAATCAGAATACATTTTTTGTTTCAAATTCTTGTAATTTTTATTCTGGGAAGTTTTTTAAAAACAAGCAAACAAGCATGATGGGACCCGTAAACTAATTTTTAGTTGAACAACTCTTTGAGCCAATCACTACAATCAAGTGTTTTTTGTAACTCTCAGTCAGACTTCTGAACCTGTTGACAGGTATTTTGATTTTGGCTCTAATTTGTCTGGGGCAGTTTTTTTTTATTATTATTATTCTTTTCAACCACAATTCAAAAGCAATGTCTTATTTCACTAAATTATAGTTTAGCATTTTTTTTTTATTTGTGATTACTTTTTTAATTTCTAGTTGTTTGAGTGATTATTGGTTATCCATTTGTGGACGACTGTAGTTGCAGGATCTTGCGATGCCTTAAATAAACCACGAGGTGGCTCACTGTAGCTATTTGCTGTGACCTGCAGTGCACACTCCAGCCGTGAGGGGGCGACATTTCCCAGCGCTGAGCAGCGACTCCGCGCTGTAGAGGAAGAGCAGCTCGCAGTGTGTCCACATTCTGCGGCTTTTTCGGTTGAGTCTCTCGGTCGAGGCAAGACGGAGCCCTCACATAAGGAGGTGGAGTTCACCGCACTTCAACTCCGAGGGACCAGGCGTCTGCTGCAATGTTAACCCAGAGCTGAAAACAACACGTCTGCCGGCTCTGATACATGACAGGTAACTTTATCTCTTTGTTACACAACGCCGTAGTGCCCCAGTAGTAACGTGACAGCGTAACGTAGCCGAAACTACAGAAGGTCTTCGTTAACGGTCACTGTCTTGTGGTTAGCTAAACGTCAGCGGTGGCTAATATGCGTCTGTAGAAAATACAGCGAGTCGACACCGTAATAAACTACATGAAAAAAAGTACAGAAGCGCAAGCGGGAAGGTTTTTATGGGATTCTGTGTTACCTTCCTTTGTTAGATAGTAATTTCCCAGTTAGCCGAGGTGTTTAGCTAGCTAGCTTCATAGGGCTTGTCAGACACCCAACTCCCGAGACGGAGGCGAACCAGGCTGTTGTTACTTTCCATAATCCTATTATTTTCCTACCTGACGTTACGTGTGTTTACGGTGAAAACCCCTAAAGCGCAGCTAAACCCACAAAGTGAGGGTTTAAAGGCTTCCTTAGCGTAAGCCAGGTATTAGCAAGCTAACCTCACTGGACGTTGGTTCATTCAGGAAGAAGAGGCACACATGAGAAGTCATCTTTACATAACTAACCGTATTTCTTGTGGTGCTGTAAGCCGATTCATGTAGGTCTCCTGGGCAAAGCTGTCATATATATATTCCAAGACGCAAATGGGTTAAATAGTAAGCGCTGATTCATTGTTAGACAGTAACACTGATTATTAATATGCTGCAATTATCAGAATTATCAAGGAACTGTGTCTCTGTCTTCCCTCCAGCACACACCAGTCATGGAGCCCCACAAATTGATGACCTTGTGGATATTTTGTTTGTGTCTCTTTGGAGAAAGTTGGACTGAAAAACAAAGTTCACCCACGTCAGACAGTCAGATTGTTGAAAATGGGCTATCAGGTGAGTAATTAATCATGGCATTTATTTAGTCACAGAGTTCCGATAGAGTCTAATTTTATCCTCCCGTTAAGCTAAGCTGACATACACTATAGATTGGCAGTTGGAGTATTACTGTTCGTGCCACATCTTTGTGATTGTGCAGGCACTAAATGTAGCTGTGCTGAGAATAGTCCGGCTGGCATTTGCCATTAAGCCCTGTCCTCCAACTTAGATCAAGCCACCGAGTCAGACAGGAGCTAATTGATCTAATGTGTAGCGGACCGGCTGACCAGGGCTTTAAGTAGTCACCGGATCTTGTAGTAACTTAACATGTTAAACTATTTTCAATAAGTGTCAGATTAAAATAGTTATTTTAAATAAATAGTTCTTCACCTTGCTGCACAATATTTGCATGCATATTAATAATACCGTTTCGTATGAGCATGTCACTGAACTCCTGAAATTTTTATCTGCAAAGATCTTTTATTACAGCAAACTGTATTACACATCCCACTTTTATCCTTGTTAATTTGAAAGGTTTATTTTCAAGTACGAACACGTTAGGTGTGCAGAATAAGCTCCTTTTGTAAAGATGCTTTGTTTTTTTTTTTGTTTTTAGATGTGACCTTCTGAACACTGTGATAATTGCTTCTCAATCCATTGAATGATTTCACATGAATGACAATAGCTGTTGTATCTGTCCAGCGTATGAGCCAGTTACGAAATACAGTGACTCAAGGTTTTAAAAGTGCACTCATGTAGCAGTTCATTGTTGGTAAAATTTGAATAATTCACCTGAACATTATCCGCATTCTTTTTTGCAACAGCTGGGCACCGACCCAATATTTCCAACATGTTTTACTGCGCTCTTTTGTTTGTGTTGCTGAACACTGTCGTTAAACAGGAACTGGTAATATATTGTACAAATTGCTCACACACATTAATAAAAATGTGCTTCCAACACTTTACTCCCAGCACTCTCAACAGGCCACTGTGTGCAAAAGGATTTGTTTTTGATATGACAGAGTTTCAAAGCTTGACAGGTATTCAAAATGGCGAGAGATAGTAACTGCTGCAGTAATGAGGTGGCAAGGTTTTGGAGTGTATTCTTCATCTGCATGCAGGCACACAGAATGGCTTGCGTAACTTGAGCTCTTTAAAAAAAAGGCAGGCTGACTGGTATGTAAATATCTTATCTTGTGTCTCCGGAGGTTTGCAAGCCAAATGAGAAAGAGGGCCAGGTTGAATGTGTGAGAGTGTTGCAGGTGGTAAAGTTTTCACCAGGGCAACTGTCATTCTTTGTTTAATGCAGAGCGTGTGAATGTTGGAGGGAGCGATTGTCTTTGTGGTATGTGGCTTTGCAGGTTTGGTAAAGCTGTACGCTTGCACACGGCAGCTCAAAAATTAACTTTTTACTACACGGAAGCTCACATTGTGCATTCAACCTTCTTAGTTCTGGATTAGCCGTTTGGTGTAGAATGTAAGTCAAGGTTTACCAACTGCAAAAATGTGTGTAGAAACAAGAGTTCATGGACACAGAAACTGTTTTGGAAATCTGTTACATGTTTTTCTTTTCTTTTTTTTTTTTGTCCCTTCAGCCGCTTCGCCTACTTATCTGAACGTCTAATTCTTGGAATAAAGAGAGCAAGTACTGAAATGATGAGCTGATCAGTGGGAGGGGGCATTACGCTGTAAATTCCAGCACAATGCAGACCAAATGCATGCAATTTATTATACACAAATATGTGGGTGACAGTGACTAATGATGAAGCAGCAGCCGTTAAGATGTGTGGACCTTAGCACGAACATTATGGAAAGGGAAGTGCGTTTTGTTTTTTTTTTGCGCACACTGCTACACTATATTGTTGCACGAATGATGCAGGCAACATGCCTCGTTCTGCCCAGATCATGAACCAAAACTTAGCCACCATCTCGCAAATCATAACAAACTAGAACCAAGAATTATTTCAATTGAACACTAGTGTTGTGATTAGAAAAAGTTCGTATACATGTTTCTGCAGGAGCATGTTGTTGTTGGTTAAGGCGTGAGCTTAGATGGGATTTGGAAGTCTAAGCTACTATTTCATGACGGCGGGAAAGGCCAACCTCTCCCTTAATCCCATGCCTCATCTTTTTCTTTCGTGGTGTAATGCAGGGAAATGCATAAACAATGAAAGCACCCTGTCCTTGACATTTGCTTCTTATAAACTTTATTTAACCATGGATGTGCATCTTCACGATTCAAACTTTGAAATTTACAAGAGTAAATGTATCCATATGTTTTATGCAGCGCTTTCAGAGTGCACAGTGTTTTTGCAAACTCACCTCAACCATGCTGCTTTAAAACAGAATATGCACCAGAACCTGTGGTTAGTGCAGGGAACTTGTCAGGGTGTTTGACACAGCTCCGGAGTCCTGCAGCACATGGGAAAAAAAATGTTTTCCCTTTTAATGGGAGTGGCAGTATTATCTCTGATCTATGGCAGAGGATTTGTAATCCCTCAGGAAGGAAGAGAGAACACAGGGAGCAGGCAGACGCATCATAAAAAGGCGTACATTTCTCATTCATCTATAATTAATCGTGGAGTCCAGCATGCTGAAATTGTATATTTTCTTCTTCATTACTGAGGCCTTTTAACCACCAAACCCAAGTTTTTTGACATTCAGCAGAATTGCGACATTCAAATTGATGATTCATGCAAATTAACAGCCCGTAATTATTGAAGACTGACTCATCTTAAGACGTGGCCTGTTTTCGGTCTACACACTAGATCTAACAGTCACTGAGCTACACATATGTCTGACAGATACAGTCAGTGTCTGGCTCATTGGTAACATCCCAACATTGAGTGAAAGGCCTTATGTAAACAAGGCTTTCTCTGCAGCCAAGAAATTTTGCAGTTCAGTTATCTTAACAAGAGAGAGCGGTTCAGTGAGGGCAATTCAGCAGAGGACTTTGAGAAAACTTGTGTAAAACGCACAAAGGATTAAACGTCATGAACCTCAGAATTATATAATTATACAAAAGGTGATTTTTTAAAAGCTTTTTGGTGTTTTCAATACTAAAGATGAATAAACCAGAATGTTATCTTAATGCATTTTTTTCTTTCTATTGTAAAATTTTATTGTTATATTACTGTTTCTCCACCAGATTTTTGTCGCATCGATGAGCCACTATGCAAGGATGAGAACGCCGTTCTCAGCTTTGAAGCCATCCGGAGTATCCACAAGCAGATGGATGATGACGCAAACGGCAATGTAGACGTTGTAGAAACAGACGGCGTAAGTACGAGCTTGAAAAATCATCATTATCAAGTGCTGATGCTCTGTTGAAATGAGATATTATGGTTTGGACAGTCCCGGAGGTGGGATTCACACAGTCTGAAGAGGCTTATACATATCATTATTGTAATCCTCTGTTATCTGACTGGTCATAGGATTTGCTGCTAAGGTGGTTGGTTAATGATAGCCCCGTAATGTCCTTAACCTACCCTGAGTAACTTGAGGATTTGTCCTGTTTTGCGCTCCAGTACTCTGTGCTGAAGGTTTTGTCCAATAATTAACCTAATTCGTGTGAAGTCCGGTTGTAACTGACATGCATGAAGACACTGATTGAGTTGCAATGCATAAGGAGTAGTGTTGTCTGCTTTCTGCATTGAAGCGTAACAAAAGAAGAATATAAACACTTGACGTTTATGTCCGGTCACATTTGTGTAAGATTCATCAGGAGTCGAGTCTGTTGCTTCTCAGACATCACTGGTTCCTGAAAGACTCTGCTGGTAGTCGTTTAGCTCAGTACTGAGCTTTAGTCTGAACTACATTTTGTGGCCTTTATTAAGCCTCCTCTGGAGAGCTGTTTCTGTTTGGTCAGTCTCTGGCATGTGGTTGAGGCTACACCAAAGTAGGCAGCACCATAACTGCAGCTGTCTCTGCTTTTATAAGAGACACTTGGCATGCGAATACCCTCAAGGCAAATAATAAACGAGTACACTGGGCACTTGTATCTGTAGTGGTTATGAGCTTAGAAATGGAAAGCTCTAAATGAATAAGTGTACTTCACAACAGTGCTCCTGTTTCGGGCTTGCATAAAGAGGAGTTGATTTCTTAATGACCAAGATCAAAGTGTGCTTCTGGTTTTTAAGAATAAGCTTCAGGCCGTGGTCACATTGTACAGGTCCTGTTGATTTCCCAGTGCATATATTTTCAGGAGAAGCAATGTTTCACCTTCAGCACAGACAATCTCTCTACACTGTAGTGAAGTCCTCCCACACAAATCTATCAAGAAAGAAAGACATCATGACTTATTATTGTCTTTCACCCGTGTTGCATGACTCTGCTTTTGTGGGAGTGCTAGATGTTATGTAGGGTTCATTTTTAAAAACCTGGTGAGCGAGTTAGCCTACAGTATAGTGGGCAATCAGTCGTGTGGTTCCATTTGCCAGCAGGTGACAGCTACCACTCTAGAGGGGGCGAGAGTGGAATCCACAGTACCATCATGTTTTGGTGCATTTTACTGTGCAGCGCAGAGTCTTATGTGCAATATGCATACTTCTCATTTGAAAACAGATAACGAAAAAGTTATTTCATGTTGTTTGTATTACCCGTAGCAGTATGTTTTATGAAATTTCACATCTTTTCCTGATGAAATAGCCAAATGACATAACATGATATGGTTATTTTAAATCAAAATCAGCCTGTATTTTGCTGTCTAAAAAAGTAGAAACTCAACAATGTCACTCATATTCAACTTGTAGCTAGATACAGTCAATTCACATCAGTGAAATACCTCAAATTGTCTCATACTTTAAATTATAATTGCCATATAAACCAACTGATTGGCTATAGCATGCGAAAGCACTTGTGGTTGCACTATAAAAGCGTAGTGAAAGAAGGAAGGGGGAAAGTTCCTTGTAATGGCACATGGCAGCCAGAGTGTCGGTTTGTGTCTTAGTAAGTTAGTCATGTCTCTTTTTTCACGCTGATTTTATAATTGGTTGAGTTCTTAGATGTGCCGCTTGACAATTAGAGGTTCAGTAAACGTATTTTCAGCTGTGTGGATTGTTAATATTGTCAGAGTCTGACTTTTAGCTGTTGGTGATGAGTACATGTGATGTAATGTTGAATAAATACTAACACGAGTGAGGAGGAAGTTCTGTGGTGTTCCAGACCGTTAAATAGTGAGTGGAAAATGTCGAGGTCAAGTGTGGTTTGGATATTTGTTTTATGTTGCTTCCAAAGTGAACGAAGCAAATACGCACTTAAGCCACAAGGACTGCATTTTCTTCTTTTATGAGCGTCGTAAAGACCACAGGAGTGAAACGGGTCACAGGGCTCACAATAAAGCCAAACCAAACACCATTTAAAAATGTGGTCTTTGTCCCCTTAACTGTTAATACTTTACATCCAGTTTACCCCAACTCTGTTAGGCTGACTACATATAGGAGGACAGCATATTAAAGGAAAAAATAGTGTAATGTGCCATCGTAGTGCCACCAGAACAGCTTCAGTACATCTTGGCGTTGACCTTGCAAGTCTCTGAAACAATAACAGGAAATGACAACCATTTTTTCAAAAGATCAACTTCAATCAGGATAGAAATGTTTCATCATCAGATAAACGCAGTCACTGAGAACAACTTTATATTGATTGAAATAAAATGTATTTGAATTTTCACTAAGTGTTGCAATCAAATTCCACATTGGTCAGACTCGGCTAACTAAAGTAAAAATTGTGTTTCTAGCAGTTGTAGAAATGAAATTCTCAGTCAAAAGATAATTTCCAGCATTGATGTTACATTTGTGATTCAGCACTTTTTTTTTTTTTTAACCAACTTATAAAACACCCTTGTCATTCTGCAGTTCCTGAGAGAAGATCTGAACTACCACGACCCCAAGGCCAAGCATAACAGCTTCCACGGAGATGACCAGTTCATCAGTGTGGAGGACCTGTGGAACGCATGGAAGGGCTCTGAAGGTACTGCTTTGAATCCTCTCATTTCCTCTAAAGGCCAACAGTGACTGCACAAAAAGGCCTTTTCTTTCAGATCTTTTCTGTATCATACAATACTGATACAATCCACCAATATGGATAATTGTTGTTTTTAATGCAACACTCCTTGTGACTTTGAAAGCTACTTTGGCAGGAAGGCAGGGTTGTAAATAGCCAGTAAATTAGAGTTAATGTGTTTCCCTCTGAAAGTGTTGGTCACATATTACCCCTGCTTAACCTCCTCACTCACTTAACAAAGGAGCTAGACAGTTGATCAGATGGCTTGTCAAGCAAAAGTGCAGTCCACTTATCAGCTCCAGCCAGTGGCAGAGTGGACATCATTGAAACTGTCAGCACAAAATTCACATCCACACTCTCACTTCCTTCTGACTATCTGTTTGGCTTGGCTATCATGCATTCACTGAGCACTGTTCACAAGCTGTGTTGTATCTGGCGCTCGTGCCTTTTCACACCCTTTCCTCTGGCTGCTTTTACCCCCCTTTTTTTTTTTTTTTTTTTTGCTCAGAGTACTGACTAACCCTGCATTGCAGCTTCTTGACAAGGCTCTGGAGGTTTTAAGCCAAGAAACTGGGTTTTTGTTCAAGAGAGCAACACATTAACACAGACAACCCACACTTTTGACTCTCGGCCAGGATCAGGGAAGAAGATTTGCCTTCCTCAATAATTGCAATGAGCAAGCCAGTGTATGTTATGCTATAGAGCACCTCATAGATCATTCTGGATATAGATGCACACTGTCTTATGATATGTCTTGTGTCAAGCTGTATATACAGTGCAGATGAATGTTTTATGATAGTGACATGCTGTTTTGGCTTTGTACATTCGGTTTACAATCCAACAATGCCAGTGAGAGTGCTGCTAGCTTTCAGCTTTAGTTTCAAAGTGTGAACATCCATTTCGCATGAATGATGTAGATAAAAAAAAGTGACATTTGGCGACGCACAATATTTGATCAGGTTCTCCAAACATTTGGCACAGTAGTAGTAGTACGAAAGTTAATGTTTAGGTGCAGATTTTTAGAATAATTGACTGACTGAGGTGTACAACACAGACATCAGAAGACATTTGTTTTCTTCCCTGGTGATGCTCTGCAGGCATGTATTGAAACGGTCTTAAATTCTTGCCGGTTTCAGGGAGTTTTTGCGTACGGTCTGGTCTTAAGCAAGTGAAACACATGGATCAGTGGGGCTGAGGTTGGTTGTCTTGACTGCTTAGGCCAAGGAAACTTTTGATTTACCTTTCATGACTGTTTAGAATCACTCCTTTGTATTGTTTGAAATTTTGTGGCTACTACAGTTCTCCACTGATTGTACAGAGTGGATGTAAACACACTCAAACACTGTTAAAGATTTTAGTCATAGTCATTGTTTCTCTTAAATACTCATTTGGTTGGTGAGAGCAACAATAAAACATGTTGCTGCTATTTTCTAACAGCACCATGTGCAACATCTTGATGCCGTGTAGCTTTATCAGTACTAAATTCTGCAGGTTTGGGACAAATGAAAATTGTTGAAAACTGTAACTATATGCTTTGTTTTTTTGTATCTGCCCTCAGTGTATAATTGGACAGTGGATGAGGTGGTGGAATGGCTCATCACCTATGTGGAACTGCCACAATACGTGGAAGCGTTTCGCAAGATGAGTTTCAACGGAAGTGCAATGCCAAGGTAAGGAACCTCATGACTATGTCAAGCTTTTGAATCTGCACCAGATGCATGATAAAGACCACAAATACATTGTGGTTTATGTATGTTTTGTAAGATTTTTGAACACATGACAACAGTAATGCACTTTGCTGCAATAATGCCAACATAAATAACTGAGTTGTTGCCACGTTTTATTGCCGAAAATTACACATTGTTTACATTACCCGTTTTAATCTGAGTCAGTACTGTCCCTGCTCTTATCTGCCTGGGTCAGTTTTGTTTGACTTTTTTTAATTTCCGACTTCCATTATTTGCTTTTAGTCAAAGGGATCACACAAGTATAAGTAATGACCATTGACGCTTTGAGAATGATCAGCTTGATTAAGAGGATTTGTTCAGGAGTCACATTACACGGAGTTGGAATGGATTAAACTCTTAGCTCTTTCTTCCTACTTCCTGCAAAATGAATGTGTGTCTGTTCTCTCTCAGGTTTGCTGTAAAGAACACCACGCTGACACTCTCTATTCTGAAGATTTTGGATCGCAGCCATGTGCAAAAGTTGCACCTCAAATCTTTGGACACTGTGCTGTTTGGAGCACCCTTGAGTATGTATCTTCATTCCTTTTTTCTTTTTTGGGGGGATTTTCTGTTGCAGCTTTGATTTATGCTGTCATTTATCAAAGATGTTTTTCAAAATACTCAGTTTCTTCTTTCTTAACATTGTTAGCCGACTGAAATACTTGGACAAAACTAGTCACATTTTTCTATTACCTCTGTGGTTTTAAGGTCGTGGTCTAGAGCCATGTAAAAATGTTGTACTTTTTGTTGACTAACCACAAAATGTGAAGTTTTTAGTTCCAGAACAAGCTGATCAGTTAATTAAAGTCTTGAGTTATGTTCACGTTGAGTTAAGCACATACAAGGGAGGGAACGTTATCCAGCTCTGATACAAAGATTCACCATGACAGGGTAAAAGAAAGGAGGAGCCTTTATTTTAATCCCCTGAAAAATTAACGTGTGACGATGCACATTTATTTAAAGAACCTGAATTGGAGTGAAGTTAGGGTTCAAGACGTTCACACTATCAGAGTATATTCAGTGTAGTTCAGTCATTTATCATTTGGCAGACTTGTATATTATCTATCAAATATTTTGAATGTTTTTATTCAGTTGAAACATGATGGTAACAAAACATTGTTGGCAGCAACTGAAAAAGGAAAATATAGATCAAAGATAAGTGTATATATACAGACATGACATAACTTCATAGTCCATTCCAGTCATGATTGTGGTTGAAAAAGCATCTGGGTTAAGTGTACATTTTTAGATTTCAACACGTCGTAATGCTATTAAAACAAGTTAAGACTGCAGCCTATATAAGGAAGCAAATGCAGAGTCATAGTCTCACAGAGGTGGACAGTGTAGAGATTTAACTCTTAGTTGATATTTTCCTGTTGACTGTCTTTTTCTTTAAATTGTTGACCAATTAATCGTAAATCCAGTAACGCTATTCAGGCTTTAGGTAACTATCAGGATCTGTTTCTGGAACTGAAAACTCTCGAGTTTCTCTCAACTCTGTGTCAACAAACTCAGAGACATAAATAGTCTTCCAAAATAAGACAAAACTCAAAACCTCATCTAACTCCCTAACAGAAGAACTATAACTGAGCCTCTCTCATTGAACCACCTTCCAACATTCCTCCTGACTGCTGTTGTCTGCTGATTTCATTCATCAGCAGCTGTGATATTTTGTTTTGCTTTATTTCTGTAAACTCTGACTTGCTCATCCCCTCACCTGAGCCAGCTCACGTTTGAAATGTAGGAAAATCCAGCCATCACCTGTATCAGTTTCAGGGATTGAGGAAGTGAGCTGAGGGTTGGACCATGCTGCTCTGTATTCCAGACACACCCCTCTGCGTACTGAGACAAATAAACACACCACTCATTCTCTGCTTTACTCTGCTTCTCCAGTATCACTGCTCCAAATCTGCACTCACAGATTCAAATGCTTCAGGATTTTTCAGTTTGCTGTCTTTTCTGGCGTTTGTAACATCACAATGAATCGGGTGTGTCTCAGCTGTCATACCACCTGGCAGTACTTTGGATTTTTTTCTTTTAACGTAATCCCTGTTGATAATGGAGAACACATTCCCAGAATGACTGCCAGTTTTTAGTTTTTTTTAACGAGAACATGTTTGTTGTTTAAAACCTAGTTACAGACCGACCTCTGATTACTGACAGTTTGAATCACAAGACTTCTAGTGCTTGATTTAAAAATAATAATCTCAGTTTACATGGAGTTTTAATGGTGCTATTTTTATCGGACAGTAAGTAAGATAAACAGACAGTGAAGTGGAAGAGTGTTATTTAGTAGGGGATTGTTTATAAGAGTTGGTACACCAAAGCAAGAAGGGAAAATTTAATGAACCTTCCTAGGAAGCAGGCACTTGCATTGTAAAGAAACTTCACAGGGGTGCAGTGTACAGGGGTCTGTGTCTGGCATGTGTCATTGTGGATGTGTTTTGTAAGAGTCACACCCGAAGGAAGACATTAGCAAGGGCTATCTGGCTTTGACAGCCTCTCAGAGTCAGGGGGTCTCACTAACAGTCACACTGACTGACTGTATGGAGCAGCAGCATTTTAAGACACACGTCACAAAAGGTTGAGGCTAATCTGGTAGACAGTTGCGTAATAATTAACCCAAGCACAGTGGGGTAGAGTCATTTCCCATTTTGAGGCTAATTAAATGTCACTTGATGCTCCCTTGGTGGTATTCGTGAAAGGGATGATTGAATGTATCGTACAATGAATGTGATAGAAAATATAGACAAGACTGATGGCGTTGTGGGAACGATTAATAGAGCAGCAGAAGAGTACCGTCAGGAAATTACTTTATATTATCTCAGGGTATTTCATTTAGGCATCTGTGCACAGTCACAATGCAGACCAAAGACAAATTTAGCGCGCATGCATTGCAGTTAAATACAGTGACCTCATTTTGTGAAGCTGAGCTCTTGATTAAGAGGTAATGAGCTGCATATACCAGCCACTCTCTATAGCTTCAGAGCAGTAAAATTACAGGGAGCAGTGCTTTACAGCTTCCCTGTAGATTAGGTTTCACAGTTCTACATTGTTTGTTCTACACAATCACAGGCACATCTACTCTAGGTTCCTTGACTCTGATGAACGTGTGTTTGTTCTGAATGTTTTACGTAAGTCTGCAGTATTATATACACAGCCCTTGTGAAAAGTCATCTAGCGAGAGCCTGCCTTACAGGTATGCTGTCAGATGAAATTTGTCAATTGCAGACACAGGAACATGTTTGTAAAGAGCTATGTTTCTAGGTGACATATTCTCCTGATCTTATCTAAATGAAACAAACCAGCACTGACTTTCTCATTTTACTTCCCTTTGTCTCACTTCAGGAAGTAGAAGTCTTGTTTTTTGACATCTCTTTCCCGCCCATCCCATCGCTGGTTTCACAAGAAAAACTTGCCTCATGATGTAACTTGCAAGGCTTAAATTCAGGCTATGTGTCAGTTCATGCATGCAGGCTGTTCTTCAGACTCGTCAGTGACAAATCTTGCTACACCCAAACTTGATTTTGGGTTTGATTTTAAGATGGCTTTTGTATCTTTGGTTGAAACTTGATCTATATCTAATCTAAGGCTTCACACAAATAGAATAGTTGGTTTTTAGCTGCTGTGACTTTCAAAAGCTTTGAAAACCTTACAATGACAACATAACAGCGTACTAGATTTGCTTCACAGCGCCTCATGCACCAAATTGTTATCGTTGCCCTTGTTTGGTTTTCTTTGCATGATTATAAGCATTGGTTACCGGACTGAAATAGGCTGTGTTAAGCTGTCTTTATCGTGGTCTTTTGCAACGGGCCTCTCTCACCGCAACCTGAACTTGCGCTACTGACTCTATTTGTGTCACTCCGCAGCACTTGCAGTTTGACTGGGTAAAGCGTCACCACATCCTTGTGAAGCTTGCTTATTGTTAGACAGCTTTATGTCTATGACCCTGATGTATATTGCCTGGCTGAAATGCATTCCTCATTTAGAGCCTTTTTTAATGGGTGTGGCGTTTCTCATCCTACCAAATGTAATTGTCTTTTTTTTTCTCTTTTTATTAGTGAATAGACACAACCACCTGAAGGACTTCATGCTGGTCGTGTCGATAGTCATAGGCATGGGTGGCTGCTGGTTTGCCTACATCCAGAATCGCTACTCAAAGGACCACATGAAGAAGATGATGAAAGACCTGGAGGGCCTCCAAAGAGCTGAGCAGAGTCTGCATGACCTCCAGCAGAAGTGAGGGTTTTTCCCACCACCCACACAACAATGTTATACTTTACAAGTGCTGCATTGTGCACCCATGCCATTAATTTTATTTTCCTCAAAACACCGTGTCATATCTGGAACAGTTATTTTTGTCTTCACTTTCAAACACGAAGCGCATTCATGCCACAGTCTTTTTTTTGTCTAACGTATAAATCCAGTACACTACCTTAATGTGACTTTAAACTAACTTAACACTGATAATGAATAAATTAGCAGTCCTATAATTAACATCAGCCACTGTTGGACCGGCAGTGCTGCTTCCGTGTGCTGTGTGTTATTCCTCACGACAGTAGCTCCCTCACTTAAGCCTTTTTCAGACATGTGATACATAGCATTGCTGGCTTGAGTCTGTTAAAGTGACAGTATTCTGTCATTCAGACATAGGTCACTTTGAGGGTAGTGTTGCTCACAGTTTCATTCAGACATACCGACCACGGTTACGAGCAGAGTCACAGCACGCACGTGACAGTTGCCCACTCATGCGAGACTGGACAGCGCATCAAATGGTGTATAATACACTAATAAACCAAAGACTAAATTTAAACCAAGCTTTTTAAACTGTCTGATAACTAATAGCCTACATTATACATGATTCCCTGAAAACTCTGTGTGATGATAATCTAACTACTACTTTACAAACAGTAAAGTAAAACTATCAAAACAGCTGTGATGAAGCTCATGACTCAACTTGAAGACGGTCACTTTGAAACCAGTGTTTTAACAGCAGCTTATAAACTGTGGCTTTGTGTGTGACGGCTCACCTCTCTGAGAAGAAGTAAAGTACACAGTTTCATTTATCAAGATTTCCTGGCCGATCATGTCTCCATTTTGGGGATGATTTATCATAAATAATTAATGAAGTTACCGGCGCTTTTGTTCCGTTGTGCCACGTGCGGAAACTCTCTCTCTTTGGAAACACTCAGATGGATCCTGCTGCTGTCCGATGCTGCAGGTATTTAATTAACTCACAAGAAAAACTCTGGAAGCAACAAATTGAACCTCAGCTTCTGTTAATGTTTTGTCAAAGCCGGGATTACCGTCATTGTTGGTGAGTCTTATTAATATGGCATGTTCATCGCGGTGAAGTTTTCTTTTATGGATATTTTAGTTTGTAGCAGATGTGAAATTGTACAGCAAAGTAAATAAGTAAGGTTTTTTTTTTTTTTATCATGAAAGCTGTGTTTTTAGTGCTCTCTGTGAAGTTTGTGAACCAATATTGGTGCTCAATTTTGGAAAATGCCCATTTGTTAAGGTGACTGCAGGCAGTTGAGAATTGTGTGTAGTGATGTGGAAATGTTGCGAGGTTGGACGTAAGATTGCTCTTGCGGCTTTTACGGAAAAGTGAGCAGGCTGCTTATTAAGACACAAAGCTGACACGTGATGTTGCCGTCAGAATAACGCAAAGGATCGCATGTCTGAAAGAGGCTTTATGCAGTGATCGACTGACACGGCAACATTCTGTTGATCAAGTGACCTTAAATGATATCGAGATGACAATTGAACCAACAGCCTCACCCAATGGCTATATTGTGTCAAGTGATGCCATTGTTCTTCTACCCTGAAGGGTTAGCTTTCAAGCCATTGTAGTGTCTTCATTTTTGCATTTAGATGAAGCAGGTGTAGATTCAAAGGCAGCTAGACTCCACTTATATTCTTAATAGGGTATATACATGTGTTTCCACAGTTACTGAGTTACAACTTATTGTACACACAGTCCTGTGAAAGTTACGATGTATGGTGAGTTTACTCAATGACTGTTGTAAAATGGGAAGTGGAAAGTGTTGTGTAATGAAAAAGTAGAAGAACTTCAGACAAAATCACTGACTTTTCTGATTCACAATCACATTATATTTAACCACTGAATCGGTTTGACAGCTCTACACAGCTTCCCAATCAGGATGTATCATTTGGAGCTCATAGGGCCGTGTTTTGTTGAGAAGTTTATGGATTAGGATTCGACTTTTGATGTGTGTGAGACAGGAACTGTGGAAAGAGAGAGGAGTGTAGAAGATACAATAAAGGTCCAGCGGCTGGGAGTTGAGCCGTGGACGTTGTAGTTATGTGGCGTGCATCCTAACCGCTTGACTTCTGTAGCAGCTCTCCACACAGACTTGAAAGGAGCATAAAAGCACAAAAGTCCAAATATGTTTTGAGGTGGTGACCAATTATTAAAGCCTTTCTGAAGTCTTGGGATAAAAGCAGAAAGGTTTGCTTTGAGCAGTGATGATCAAAGCCCTTTATATGGCATGAGCAGTTTTTCATTTGTTCAGCCACTAATCTTACTAACAAATCCCAGCTCAGTTAAATGCAAAGACCGGCATGGGTTGGTCATCTCCCAGACGTGACCATAAAACCACAGGACAGCATGTTATCTCCTAATATGAGACTGCAGAGGCATATATTCATGACATGCACTTAAGCTGTTTAAATTAATGGTATATATTAGGAAACGCTGAACATTGGCTGCCGTAGAACAGACTTGTGGGAAAGAGTTCCTAGTTCTTACTTTGGTTCCTGATTTTGCCTCCATCACGCTGTAGTCTTTGAGAATGAATCAAAAGCAGAAATTGCTCATACAAGTAATCATAACCAGACTTTCCTGCTAGAACAGAAGGTGCTTAAGCTTGTGTAAAAGGTATGGAGCTCGGGGAATTTTAGCAGTCAGCTGCTGTAGGAGCCGACTAAGGTGACTTGTTACCAGTTACTCCTGCCTCTGGTCATCCACTTGTACTTGTAGTGTAGACAGATGCATTCCATTTTGAGATCAGATTTTAACCAACACAGATCTTTCAGATGAGCTCTAACCCTTGCAGTTTAGCTATTATTTTAAAAAACTTGAATAAGCCTTTGATTTAGTGCTTATGCTTGTAGTTTCTAAAACTTCATGACATAAAGTACTTCATACTCACGCCTAATGTTTTCTGTCCGCCAGGCTGTTGCTACCTTTGTGATTTATTGCTTCAAAATGAGATGTAAATGAGGCGTTTTAAAACACACATGGAACAATTGAAAGCTACAAGACAAATCTGTCTATTTTAGTCCAGTTAATACCTCAAGGAATGCTCAGAATGTGCTTTAAAGCGTGCACTGAGTCCTCTTATTCCTTTAAAGGATACTCAAACTGCTTGATTTCCTCCACAGGTCAGGGTTTTTCTTTTTTTTGTAGCTTTTAAAAGAATAAGGTCTGTGCAGGGATAATCCTATTAAATGTTCATTATTCACAAAGAAATAACATCTGATGTTTTGCTAATGCTTTGCATCAGTAATTTCAAGTTTCAGTTTCTGATGCAGAAGTCACCATGAAAAATGAACTGCCTCCACTGCAAAATACAACATTTGTGAAAGTGCAGCTTTTCTGTGATTAGAATGAGGACTGGGAATTTTATGGACACTTGCTGGTTTGTCTGTAAGTCCCCACCGTATGTTCTCCAAATGGAAAAGGGCTGAAAAGAGGGAGAAAAAAAAACAAGTGGCAGTTGCTCCTCAGTGGGAGCATGTTGATCTAACTGTATCAAGTTCAATCTGACCCAAGGGTATGCGTAAAGGGAAGCTCATGGAATGGCAAAATGGAAAGAGCTTGACCTCAGGGGAAGTCATGTTTTGTTAGATTAAAAACAAGGCACCAGCTCAGGCCTATTCGCTGGCCAGAGGAGGGAGCAGTGACAGGCGTTGCCACACGCGACTGCATGACATTCCTGGCTTGATGCTCGCCGGACGTTAAGCAGGAAGAGATGAGTTGTTGTAGACATCCACATATTACTCTTACCACCCTTATTACCCACATGAGTCAGTCTTTGTGTCAGCTGGCTGTTTAGCAGACATGTTTTTGAAATATGATGGTATGCTTTGATGAACAGCCAACAGAGCGAAAAGACAAGACTTTCATTGACTGAGCTGAGTTTGGTATTTGTGCCTCCATTTCCTGCGCAGTTAAACTTTTACCTCATGTCTGTGTGTATTTTTATCTAACAGCCATGAGTTGCACTTTGTCATTACAGTGCAATAATTGAGGTGAAAGGATTATTGTGTAAATTCCCTGACGAATACCAATAAACAAAACCATTGGCTGCTGCAGTGGGGACAGATCAATGAGGTCAAACTCTAATAAACTGTCAGGGCAACCTGTGTGTCACTTCTGTAGCTTCAATTTTGATCAGTTGCCTGCCAACGTTGAAGTGAGCTTTGACAGATCTCTTTTGCAAAGACAACTGCTCATATTTAATTGTACTCTGCTGACCAACCCAGAGAACCTATAATAAATGCTAAAGGCCAGCAGGTGCCGATGTTATTTATTGCAGTGCAAGCCACCAAATTTGCCATAGCTGCTTTGAATACTTCGTTAGTTGTTCGGGGGCAGTGTTTTGGTGCTTCGCCTAAAGTCCACTGAGCAGTGCAGAAACAGCATTCTGCTCATATCCTTGAGTTATGGCTATTTGTTCAGCAGTGCAGTACAGTTTATCTACTGCAATTCAGCAGTATTGTGCAACTGCGTTTAAATCCAACCTGTGGTGGGTGAGATCAGACACTGGACAAACGAAGCAAATGTGTTCTGTCTGTTTCTGATAAAGTGGAATATAGGCCATAAAGCTTAGAAAATGTAATGCCTGTACATTATACTGAGGTTTGCTTTGGTTTTGTATTCATGATTGGGCATAATGTGGAGATAATATGCTGTAGTGTACTGTAGTTCAGTCAGTAACTAGGAAGAGAAGACTCTTACAGTGCATGTTTTATGATTGGAGAGAGAGAGAGGGAGAGGTATGTCCTCTGTCTGTAGCTGTGCCTTTCTTCCTGATCCCTGCTGCCAGCTGCTGTCTTTCCATACCTTCAAGCAGATCCTGTAGTGGTATCAAGTAGCCTGGCCCAGACATGGCTTCCCTGTTGGGAGACAGTGGGAGGAGGCTTTGACGGGAGCAGGATTTCCTGGGTGCCTTTTCCAACACTGTTTGACCTGGCCTCTGCCTCACTGCTGGGAAATGGTGCTAAGCGTGAATGCTTAACCTGTCAGCTTTAGTGCTAATTCACCCACATTTGGATTTGGTTGTGGTCTGCAGACAGACATCCTGAAAAAGCCCAGACAAGGGAAACGACATTGCACGTGATGGGCACTTGCAAGTTATTTGGCATGTAAACTTATCTTCTTTACTGTTTGCTGCAAAGTCTGCAGAGACTTTGTGTCTACGTCCTGTGAGCTCTGCAATGCAGGTCAGCTGGAACAGCATTTGGCATCTTGTCTCTGGACCCTGTAGCTGTGCCAGCGATTTCAAATCTTAGCTAGAGTATGGCAGAGGTCAGGGTCGAAAGCATTAGCAGGACTGCCCACCAGCCACATTTTCCATAGCTAGTGGTGTGGATCAACTTACATGTCTCTGCCCTTCTCTGCTCCCTCTCCCATTGTGTTCAGGCTGACTGGAGGACAGTGCTGCTCCCTAGTGACTGAAATGCTGCATTACCTTATGCGCTTAATAGTTTATAAACAAACAGAGAAAGAAAAGAAAGAAAGAAAAATCTAATGACAGACTCTTGTTGTGTCACATTTTAATATTGGACCTTAGCTAGCTTATAACAGGACTTACTCCCCCGTTCGATTAGGTAGCTACATCAGTGACTGTTTGGCTAAAAACATTTGTTCCCATTTTAATTCTGATTACCTGGATGTCTGGTCTGTAGTTAGATTTACAGATTTAATTAAACAAATATTTTGAAATGGAATAAAACCATGTTATATTTCTACAAACCTTTTAAACACAGTTGTTCCTATATGGTTTATGTCTTTTTTAGAGGTACTAAAATGTGGTACGTCTGAACAGAAATAATTATGTAATGAGTGACAAGCTACTCTTTTAAAAGAAGGTTTTTTTTGAGTTTGTCCTAAAAATATCCTGCATACAGACCAACACATATATGTTCAGGGTACTACAGGAGCACTGGTCCCAGACTGTACTGTTCTAAAGTTACATGCTGACAGCTGTTCCCATTCTTGGCTTTGCTCCCTCTGATGTCAGTTTATTGTGAGCTGCCTAGCAGCTGACTGTGGGTCTTTGCTTTCTACGTGTTAGCCATTGTTTCCGGTGATACATGGCTGATGCAGTGGCTGCATTCCACACATATGTGGCTCTCACATGCTCGTGCCTAATGTCTGCCCATAGAAAATGACACTGGCACCAACTAGGTTATGATTCTTTGCTTGGCCTTAAGGTTGATTTATACTCCTGCGTTGAATCCACACAGAGCCTTGGCTGTAGCCGAGGCAAGTGGCCTTCACTGTCATGAGCATTTATATTTGTGAACCTTTGTATCTGCTATACACTGACAAAACGCGATTTGGCGGTGATGTTTATTTGCCAATGTGTACTTCAGACAATGGCAACTGAAATGAGGCAGATCATGTTGGAGTGAACCTGATAAATATTGAATGACAGTTACTTGGATCAAAATCACTGCAATGCAGAAAAGAGAGAAGACATCTGATCCAGTTGAGTCTGTACTCTGATTGATAAAGCTATTAAAACGACATATGGCTGCATTGACACAACACTGGCTGTTGTGTTTACATTAAGAGCAAGCCAATTACATTTAGTTTCACTTAAACCTTATCTCTTCCCTAATGAGTATACTGTGTTTGCATGGCATATTACTACCAAACAGAGCAGTGTGGGGAGGTTCACATGGCTACAGTGTAGAGTTTGCAGCTCCACCTTCCCTATGGCATACATATAACACAGAAATATGAACCCAGCTTTAGGTAAACAGATACCGATGTCTTGCTGTGAAGATGAAATAAAATGAGAGATAAATATTTTACTTTTTGTTCCTTACCCTTTCCTCAGGCTGCAGATTGCCCAGGAGGAGCACCGCACAGTCGAAGTGGAGAAGGTGAATCTGGAGCAGAAGCTGAGGGATGAGATAAACACGGCCAAGCAGGAGGCCCAACGGTTGAGAGAGCTGCGTGAAGGCACAGAGAATGAACTGAGTCGCCAAAAGTATGCAGAAGAAGAGCTAGAACAGGTACTTAGAAACTGATCGGTGCCATATAAATATGAAGTTGATTATTTTTTGTTGGGAATATATCTTAAGTTCACAAATGAGAAGCAATGAAACAGATAAATAGAGTTTATTAAACTTCCAAGGTGGCAAGTGCACAGTATGTTTAGGTCTATCAGATTCACACTGGCTATAGTATAAATACGCCCACTGAAGTCTTTGTCCATTAGGGATTTGGCAGGAACAGCACAACACTGCCCACACAAGTAAACACAACACATGAGTATTTGCTTGAAGGATTATCACAGTGATCTAATTCAGACACTTGTGTCACAGTGTTTTTTGTTTGTTTGTTTTATTCAAAAGCACATTAATAAACTGGAACCATGAAGGGCTTTTAGATTCCATGTGATTTTAGGACACTTGAGTTTCATGTTCAGTGGTTTGTAGCAAGGCTTGTCGCCACTTACTTACACTCCTAGATTCAGGATGCAAGTATGCAGATCTACCAGTCCTCAACTGTAAACATTGTTGTAAGTGACCTTTACCTTTAAGGTATGTAGGATTGAAGCATATCAGTCATTCGCTGGACTCATTTGAAGTACAAAACTGTTTTAATCCTGGTTTAACCTTACTATGCAGCCTGTAACTTTGTTTAAAATGTGCTGTCAAAATATTGTTTGATTATTATTGTCGGTTATTTCCAGTCCAACAAATTTTACGTCTTGGTGCATGATTTCACAGAAAGTTTGCAATTTTATTGAAATATAGAAGCTGCAAAAACAACAGTTGGTTCATGAGTGTGTTGTTGGTATGTGTTACCTCATCATCCAATTTTTCAATGCTTGTTGCAGGTACGCATGGCATTGAAGAAAGCAGAGAAGGAGCTGGAGTCACGGAGCAGCTGGTCACCGCCAGAGTCTCTCCAGAAGTGGCTGCAGCTCACCCATGAGGTGGAAGTGCAGTACTACAACATCAAGAAGCAGAATGCTGAACGACAACTCCTGGTGGCCAAGGAAGGGGTAAGCATGTAAAAAACTTTTTTTTAAAAAAGGTTAACACTGTTGCCTTGATCATAGGTTCAAAAATCTGTAAATTACATTTGATGGAAACTGTTTCAAAGCATCACCAAAAACAGAAGATTTGAGACTTGCTTTTCCATGTTATCTGAACCTGAGCTTGATTGGATCGAATTGGTGTATAATTCAGTTGTTATTTAATAATTAAACAATGTATGTAAGCAGTCTGATGTCATGCTGCTAGCGGTTGTGTGGGGGAAAGACTGTTGATGTTAATGCATGTTTGGACTGTGGATGTTACCTTGGCACAATATTCCACTTATGCAACAGAGATAAAAGTTGGGTCACTTGTTTTCACAGGCAGAGAAGATAAAGAAAAAGAGGAACACTCTCTTTGGGACTTTCCATGTGGCTCACAGCTCCTCCCTGGATGATGTGGACCACAAAATACTGGCAGCAAAGTAAGTTCAAGGCATTTTCATATAATCTGTCCTGATTTCTTAGTAGGATTTCAGATTTGTTTTGTTTCTTCCTATGCCAAAAATCAAGAGGTTACTTTCCATTTTCACTTAAGTTTTCTTTCATTCTTGCCGTCTTCTACAGACAAGCCCTGGGTGAGGTGACGGCTGCTCTGCGGGAGAGGCTGCATCGCTGGCAGCAGATAGAGATCCTCACAGGTTTCACCATCGTCAACAACCCAGGCCTTCCTACCTTGGCCTCAGCCCTCAACCTCGATCCCACCTTCATGGGCGGCAGAGCCACGCCTCAGCACTTCATCATGTCAGATGACATGGACGACATGGACGAGGATATCGTGCCTGGAACTCTGCAATGTAAGGGTTCATCCGAATCTGTGGCCCAGTCAGTGGGGATTAGCAAACGAATCCCTAAACAACCCAAGGCTCTGCTGGGGAAATCCAAAAATCAGCCCACATGAGAATTTGGACCTTTTACGCTACATTCACCACAATATGTCCTTGTGGCCTCCCTGGTGATGGAGGTAGTAAGGGCTGTGTATGATTGAACATGTGTATGATTGAATGAGTGTTGTTTTACATTTGTATTATGTCAATTCACATAATCGTGTTGTTGTTTTACACACAGTTCCAGTTGAATGCCTTTTTGTTAATTGTGCTCATTTTGGATAAAATTGTTTACTTGACTCTTAAGTCTATTATTGAGACTGAAGCATCCTGTGACTTTCCTTTGGAAATTGAACTGTCAAGAAAAATATACTTCCTAAAGATCACAAGTTTTGTGCTGACCTATTTGTAAAAGTTGTGTCCTAATATGTTCTACAGACATTCTGAGTCAACTTCAACTCGAAGCGAAAGGAAACGTGTCGTATCCAGTTAGTGCTCAAATGAGGTTATTTAGGCTAAATATGAAACGCAAAAGCTGCTCATCAAATCCTTAAACACAGAAACTATTATTATCAGTGCCGAAGGCTTGAGTCAACACGTCTCTTACATTTTTATCTCATCAAGAAAACCACCTTAATGTTTTGTAGCTTTGCTGTTAAAGCTTCCACAGTATGCACATTACACATTAGGTTTTGGGTTTGACTAACTGGAGGTGGACGTTGTACTGCTGCAATAGTGAGTGAATCTTTTAATTAACATTAATTACACTCCCATGTCTCACCCCCCTCTCTCCCTCCACCACTTCTATGGTATTTGGCTCCCGCTGCTGTCTCATTGGCCTAACTACAGATGGCAACCGATTGTTGGAACGGCGAGCCAGTGACCTGTGGTCCGTTGGTTCAGACTGTCTCCCCGTGTGGAAATATCCTGGTTGGCAATTTATTCACGCCCCAGTTCAGCCCTCAGTCCGACATCCCTGTCTCTCCTCTTGCCTAAAGGCCACACAGAGCTCTAACCCATTTTAACTGGCAGTATGCTGTAGATGGACACGGCTGACAGGGAGAAAAACTTCTCCATGCTGCGTTCATCTGAAAACACCTCTGACTTTGCCATAGTTGCCTGCTTGCCACACGTACTCCCTCCTCTAAACCTCGTCACCAACTAGTTCACCCCTGTGTTTTTCCCTCTTTGATTTTGTTACTTGCATTTTTGTAAATTGGCTCTTTCTTTTATAAATGGCAACAGAATGTTTTTTAAATATCCTTTTAATTCAACCAACATAACTAGTCTGTTTTGTTTACTTTTGATATTTTTCTTTGTTCAGCGGTAAGATAAAACAAGTGTTGGGATTTTTTTGGTAATGTATTGATGGTCCACAGTATAAAGGCCGAATGAGTAAATGTTTGAGAATAAGACCTTTTTAAGTTCAAAGTCAGAAAAATGTATCCCAGCACCTGAGTATCTTTCCCCAAATCCCCCAGTTGGTCTCGCTTTGTCCATTTGGTGGTGTTTCCTGAGTGGTTGTTAATAACGTTGTCGTTTGTGCCAACAGCTCCCAGTATGATGTCGCTGCGCCAACGCCACATTGACCCCCAGCTGGCCATGGGCTCCCAGAGGTTGGTAGAGAGCTGCCTGTTGGCGGGGCAGCAGGGAGAGGGAACCTCCTACCCATCCAGGTCTAGGGCTGCCCTCAGACAGTCACGCAGCCAGTCGTTTGGGCAGCTCGAGAGCTTTTCTCTGCCTCCTCTTTCCTCGGCTGTTTCTCACCCGTCCATCATCTGTACTTCCAACCTAAACCCTCAGTCGTTGCCATCCTTGTCTTCTTCCTCCTCCTGCTTACCTAGCTCTTTGGGTGGCAGCATAGCCCCGCATTCCTCCCATATATATCATACTTCTTTCCAGCCCATGGACCCCATTCCCGACTTCACGTTCTCAGACGTCTCCAATGTACACTCCTCATGCAGCGACAGTTTCGGGTACCTGCCTCTCTCCAGTTTTCCGCACACATCGCATGTGCGTGGGTGTTGTCTCACCACCTGCTGTCATTTCATTGTTTAACACATGTATCACGCTGTAGGTACCTACTCCAGAACATCGTTTTTCATTTCATTTTATTTTGCTATGCTTTCTTCATCTTTTCCTTTTATTAGTTTCGCCTTCATGTCATTGCACCTGACGAGCTACTGCAGGATCTATGCATTTACTCTTTTTCCAACCTCTCTCAGTGTTCCCGGTGTTCTTTGCCTGCAACTAACAAGTGTGGAGTTCCAGTATCCAGACTGTGTCCAGCGTGTCCATGGCTTTGCAGGCATAGTGTAGACAAACCCAAGCATGCAAGGCTTCGTTTTTGT